TATATGTTTTATAGTTTTCTTTATGTCTCATTAAACTCGCTAGCCAGCCGCTGTATGCGGCTGTGTAAAAATCCCTCATGCGTGCAAACGTTTTGATATGCTTGTTGTTAAGGGCAAAAGAATGTCACTTTGATTGCTATTTGGTGATAAGCTTTGTTGATGTGTGCCAACGATATCCAACGAGCTCAACATACACAGAGTGACAGGCCAGACACATGCTTGCCAACATCAATAACAGCCGTCGAGGAAATACCCGCTGACCTTTTTTTTGTTGGTTTTTATTCTAATTGCTTGCTTTTCATTCGCCTTTTTTTAACAGTTTACTGAAGGCCTTAGTGTTAACGGTAATATGCTTTTATTTTACGCTTCAGTATAGCCTCTTTATGTTGAGTTTTCATACAGATATATTTTTTTGTCTTTAGCATTTTTCCTATTTTTCTTGTTAACGCTCAAATCTAGCACACAATTTTACCACGAAACTACACCGCTCAATAGCCCCAGAAGAAATTGCCCAGAAATTGTATTACGGAATGGGAAATTTGCCTTTAAAAACTTATTCAAAAAAACGAGGGAAAGCTTGAAAAAAACAATTGTGTGAATAGTTAGAATTCAAGAATTTTCAAACATCTCCTTCTTTCCCATAGGCTCCAGGGCTGAGAGAATGATATGACTACATAGAAGAGCCAGTGAGTTGTTTTGTGTCGATATTCGACAGATGGCTCTGTGCTGGTATCTTGTATCGCGAACAACATTTATTCTGACAACCCCTCATCAATAAGAGCTCTGGACCCACTCATGAAATACTTTCAAAAACACTAATGGGCACCACCTTGCCCGCGGGTAAAGCTCTGTTAAGCTTTCTATACATTTTGTATAGGAGCATGTTCTAAAAGGACGTGGCTGACAAATTTACTACATTCAGAAAAAAGGCAGCTGAATATATTTCTCTCAACACATGATTTGGTAACTAGCATACATAACCAAATAATGTAGCTATAACTAAATTATGTGAAACATATTTACTTGAAGTAACTAAACATTTTTCTCAGTGCATAAAGAACATCTTGAGGTGATCGCACTGTTCAAGCATGGTGGTAGCATATTTGGTCATCAGTTCAGAGATGATCAAGGAAGTTTCTGAGGCAAACAAGGTAATCAGTGAAATTAGATTAAAAATCACACGAGATTCATACTGCTGCTGCTTTATCGAGAATGATGTAATAAAATTAGCTTTCTTTTTTCCCTTAAGGTCTTCCAGCTTTCCTAGGGCTGAAATTTAAACATCTCGACTCTCCCATTATCAAGAGATTCAACGATTAGTTTCCCATACCATTTAAGGCCTGCGTAATAGATTCAAGAAAAAATAATTCTTAGCAAAAGATACATCATCTTATTCTAACGAGAGTCTGACTGATGGAGATGAAATGGTGTGTAACATCCTCACTCTCCAAACGAGATGTGCACAGTAGATTGTCGATTATACCTATGCTATGTAATTTGACAAATTTTTTTGGTAAAAATTAATTATGACCCAACAGAAGAACATGCTGTTTTTATTGGTTAGCATATTATTTCCCACATTTTTGGCAAAAAAAAAATCTTAACCCTTGACGTCCGAGGGGTCACTTTTTCATTTGTGCTTTTATTGAAAAAGTTTGAATGCCGTTTTTTTTTTTTAAAACCAGAAATCTCTGAACTTCCTAATTTGTTTGCTGAAAAGCTAAAAAATTCGGCCTTTCCAGGAACAAAATAGTAAATAGCATTTTGTTTCCTCTTTTCATATCCCCCTAAAATTGTAAATAGTTCACAACTGACAGTATCAATAATACCTACAAAAAACTCTACAACAACAACGTAAAACTCCTCATTTAACACGTTTTTGATAGGCCAACATTTAAAAATATTTTTGACACAATACACCGGCACCCATATCATTCCAAGTTCGAAAGAGAAGTCAGCCCCAATTTGCATTTTCGTGCAATTTTTGCAGGTTCTACTGCAGCTTGGCTCTTACTGCAGACTCTGATTTGAAATGTTTACGTTTTACTATTCATTTATTAACGTACTGTACTTAAAGTATAGAAAAGGCCTCCGAGTGAAAACCTGTTGTTACTGCTTTTCATTCCATATTTTGTTTTACAGCCGTCAGTGTTAGGATCAATGAAAACTTGTTTAACCGTGGCCCTAGAGTCGCTTTCCTCATGGATTCCAGTCCATGCTTTTGCATCAAGCAGCGGCATATAAAAGTCAGAAATGGTCTACGGACAGGTGTGTGAGTATACATATGGGTAGATAGCCCGACATCTTTTAGGCCAAGGTTCCAGCAATAGGCTAGAATTTGAAAAACGCCAAGCGACTATCAGGGCCCCATTTAGAAAGGTCAAACACCCCTGGTCTTAGCTTACTGTGTTTTCCAACTCTTGAGCTCTTCATAAAGAGAAACATAAGAACATAATATAATACTGTACTGGGTATTAGGTCACCACGGGATCGTAAAAAAAAACAAGGACGAATGTGGTTTATCGTTTGTCTTGTGGGACCGGAACTCAGATGGTCTTCTTCGAGCAATGCAATCACCGAGTAGGTAAACTTAGATCGCTGAGCAGCGGCAGAGAGCCTTAGACAGGACAAGCTCTTTGACTATCATTTCGCTAAGAACTACATACATCTTTTGAAAAGAGCTAACATCAGGTTGCGCACAGGGTACCTAACCGGTCCTAACCAATTGCGCTCTCTCATGTACCGGATTGGCCTGATCACGGACGCGGAATGCCGCTTGTGTCTTGAAGACGAAGAGACGTAATTGACGTGATGAAATGTCATTGTTCAGCGTGGGCCAGACTTGGACTAAAACATTCGAGTTCAACCACAGTGAAATATTTATTATTGGAAACTCAATTAATAAGGTACCATTAGCACTTTAGCATAAGCTAGTAGGTGCTTCGCTATGTCCTTTGTTCTATTGCACCCCATCTACTAACTAACTAACTACTCAGTAAAGGCATACTGCGATTTTTAAAGTGCGCCTTTTATCTCTGTTTGAACAAAAATTTCAACGCACTTTCGTTGTTTGTTTTTCTTTTGGTTTTTGGTTTTTCATAAATAATTTATTATCTTTTACTTTTGTTTTTAATAAGAAAAAATAAAAATATCTTAAATGAAAAAGGAATATCAAGAGAGAGTTATGTATTCATGTTCTAGTTGTTCTCGTTGTGCTGGTTGTTACTGTTTCCACTTATAAAATATTATATAAGCTTCATATAGTTGTTGTTCCTATAAAACATTTCCGGCTACTTGATTAATATATATTTAAGTATATATATATATATATATAAAGATATATATATGTAGACATGTGTGTAATTATCATATTAGTCTGATTTCAGATTTTCATCTCAATTTATAAGATTTATTACAAACAAATTTGAAGAGTTTTGGCTGTTGTTTTTTTCGTATTTTTTTGTTCTTGTATTTCTTATAAAAGACAAAGAGAGAGAGAGCGACAATGCGTTCGTGTTGTCACAGTTGTTTGTTTGTGTGTTTGTGTTCGAGTGAGTGAATAATCAGTAGTGAATGTGTCAGAGTGAGTTTGAGTTCGCGTTCGAGTGAGAGAGTTGCTTTGACAATTTTTTCAGTTTTTGATATTAATTTTTCTTCATCTTCGTCAACTGCTACACCTGCTGATTTTCGCTCGTTACTTTTTTGCTGTTTTATATTTGTTGGTTGCTCGAATAAGCTAATAATAACTAATTTCTTTGTTTTTAAATTTTATTAAATGTAGTTAAATTAATTTATTCTTCTTCCTCTTCTTCCTCCTCCTCTTCTTCCTCCTCTTCCTCCTCCTCCTCTTCCTCTTCTTCCTCTTCCTCCTCTTCTTCTTCCTCGGCTTCCTCATCCTCCTCTTCGACAACCTCCTCCTCGACTTCCTCTTCATCCTCGACGATGTCCTCATCAGCCTTGGCGTCTTCCTCGCCTTCGGGTGTCTCGGGTTCGCCGGACTTCTTGCCTGGTCGTTCGCCGAACCACTTGGGCAGTTTGGCTGCGTTTGTGAGAAGATGAAATAAAAAGTGATTTGATGAGAAATATTGATTTTCAGAAAAAATGTTTGCAATTAGTGCAAAAAAAAACTTTCACATTACATTTTAGAAAAACCAAAAAATAAACTATTAGCAAAAAGACAAAACATTTAACAAAAGTCTTTTACGAGTTGTATTGAGTGTAAAAAAGCTCGTCACTATTTGTATACGTACATTTCTGGCGGCCCGTGTATTGCTCCTTCTTCTCATTCCAGATCTTCTCATTCACCTCCTTGCCGATTTCTTCCCAGCCCTAATGGCCACATGCAGTTTTTTGTTGTTATTGTTGTTTGTGTATGTGGTTTACGTTTAGATGCAGACGATAACGCAACACGTAACAAATGCATACAAAAATTCGCAGTACAAGTGAAATTCAGAAAGAGAGAGAGAGAGAGAGACAATGATTGTAGTAGAGTGAGTAACGAATATATGAATTTTACTGAGTAAAATATGAGCTGTAAATGGAATCGGAGGCCCTGAAAAAATCTAGCGGAGAAGACATTCGTGATCTGTGTGAAAGTTTAAGTGTTGGGTTAAGTACTACATACATATTTTTTAAACTGTTCGTATATACGAGTAAATATGTGTGCGTTTTTAAACAAGAACTTGTTTTATAAAAATCCCTCCCTTTGAACTGCATATCTTCGCTAGTGTCAACGAGAGAGAGAGAGAGAGAGAAAAAAATTGCGAAAGAAGACCAAATATGGCAATACTCTCGTGTCTAGCTTGATTTATCTATGCTTGAGAAATACCAAACTGATATTCGGATGAGTTGATTTGTTTGAACTAGTAATGGATAGAAAGTGCTTGACCCTTTGAAAGCTCAACAAAAGCTCTGCATGCGGGAAAGGTGTTGCCCAACACTAGTTTAAAACAGCGTGGGGTAGAGAGAGAGATTTTACTCTGAACGCGCCTATACAAAACGTATAGAAAGCTTAAAAAGAGCTTTACACGCGAGCAATACGGTGCCCATCACCGGTTTAAAACCAAAACATAGGTCACTAGCAAAGCTTTCTCAGACTTTTTAGTATCTGTACATAGCATACATGCGCTCTAAGTAAAAGCTCTCTATCACAGCTGCACTGCTTCCAATCAGCGAGAGTCATAGAGAGCTTTTATGCAATCCATATGAATTATATGTATGTATAAAAAGCTTAAAGAGGCTTCTCTCCTGCGTTTTATATTTGGGTTTCGAATGCCCAAAATATTTGTTTGATGACTCTGAGTAACAGAAATTTAGTATGAAAGTATTGGTTAATGCATACACATTTTACAAATCTCAGCTGAATTTCACTCTCAGCTTTCAGCCTTTCAGACTTGACTTAAGCACAAGTTCACACTCACAAACAAAAAA